TGCTAGCCGAGGGGTGGGGGGGGGGGGGGGGCAGGAGAATTAGGCCCAGAGGGTATATCATGTAGTGAGCACATTATAGGTTGTGGGATCTGCCATCCCAGTCTAAGCACTGAAAGTGTGATCTCTGTACCTTACAGTTGTGGTGAGATGGCAGTAACTGACAATCTCAGTAGAGTTGGCAGACAGTGACTGAATCTAGATGACACCTTGAAGATCATTGTGAGGTTTAATCCAAACTGTGCAGATCTTTATAACAGTGAACTTCGGATAGGTCAAAGATCATAATGCGATCCACTCAGCAAAGGACATGTGGCTGAGATGCAGATTAGAACATAATGAAGAAGGGTGGAGTTTTCTACACAATGGAAGAACTGAACTATGAGGAGGGCTGGAGATAAAATACCATAGACAGATAAAGCAAATAATATATGAAGGCATATCACAAAGCATATGCAGCATAACAAAACGTTTTTGCTATGAGCAGGTCAATATAAGTACAAGTCTGTGGGGCTTTCAACCTTTTCCTTACCTATTGAGTTACTGAACTGGAGCAACTCTGCTGGTGTTCTATCAAAGTTTGTAACTGCGTTAGAATGTGTGACCGGTGACGTTGTCAGACATTTTAACGTACTCCCGCTCAGTTTTTCAGCGGTGGAATGTGTGACCGGTCACACATTTTAACGTAATCATGCCCACTTGTTCAGGGGTGGAACAGCTGATCGGTCCTGAAATGTCACTTCTATCCGACTTTGTGAGTGCGATCTCACATTCCACAAAGTCGGATACAAGTGTCATTTCAGGATTGATAAGCTGTTCCAGGGCAGTTCGGTTCTCCTGCACATACCATCTGCGATGCCGATCTGCCCTGGAACAGCTGAGAAATTGTTGGAATTCTTCACCTTTTGCCGGCCACATATTCCACCGCCAAAAAAGTGGGCGTGATTACGTTAAAATGTGTGACCACGTGAACGGTCACACATTCCAACCCAGTCACAATCTTTGATAGAACACAGGCAATGTACTCTGAAAAATCTGAAAGTTTATCTAAACCTGATCACTAAAAGCTTTAAGTTGGCAAAAGTGGAACTAAAGTCCCAGATTGTCACCTGTGTGTCCAGGGCCACACCAACATCTTCTCTACACCTTTTCTTTTAATGTGAAGGTCCTTTGGCTGGTTGGGAAATGACAAATCTTCAGTACATGCACAATGTAGTTCATTAGCTCCAGCACCAAGTAGTGCACAGGTGCCGCTCAGTGTACATTCTAAAGAAGTTTGTGAACAAGCAGGTAAGTTTGTTTTATTGCAGAAGAGGCATAGCATACCCCTTCTGCAATAAAGAGCCTGTCTGCTCACAATTTATTTATTTATTCCCTTTTAGTTCAGCTTTAATGTCATTTCGAAAGTCATTTTCAATATTTTTAGGCTGTAGCTTTCATTAAAATAATACCTGGTGATCCTATCATGAAGGTCCTTCCTAAGGCATTTCTGTCATGTGGTGACAATGCTCTGTCCATGCACATTTTAAACAGACATGGTCCACTGTTGTCACCATCAGGAAAAGAAAACTTAAATGTCAGTCACTTGAACTCCTCTCCTGCATGCTCCTTCCAAGTCAGTGACTGACTGGGTAATGCACCTTTTAAAAAAACATCAGCTCTGGTATTTCAATAATCTCAGGTTCACGTTGATTTAATTTCTGGTTCACAAATGTCAAATTCGAGCCATTTAATGAAGGGAGCAAATGGGTCATCCAAGTTTTGTTTTTAAACTGATACAGGTGAAACTCGAATAATTAGAATATCTTGCAAAAGTAATTGCAGTAAGTGCTGCAAAAGGGGCCCAAACCAAGTACTGAGTACATATGCATGCTTGTACTTTTCAGAGGTCCGATATTGTTCTATGTACAATCCTTGTTTTATTGATTGCATGTAATAATCTACTTTTTTGAGGTTGTGGATTTGGGGTTCTTGGGGTTTCCATGAGCTGTAAGCCATAATCATCACAATTATGACAAATCACGGCTTGAATTATCTTGCTTTGCATGTAATGAGTCTATCTCATATATTACTTTCATATTTTAAGTTGCATTAGTGAAATAAATGAACTTTGCACGATATTCTAATCGAGTTTCACCTGTATATTGTGGTGACTATTTTTTTCTAGTTGGGATTTGAGCTTTCTATATGGAAATCCCCAGCCTCGAACATACAGTTGTATAAGGAATTGCCATGTTTCCATTGGTTATTCTCTCTAGTCACTTTGCTTTTGCCCTTGATTTATTCCACAGAAATGGAGGTGATGAAGCCTTTGATTGGAGAGGAGGGAAATACTGATGAGCTTTCTGATGAAGAGCCCGGCATCCAGAGACGTTACCACCCCGGCAATGAGGATGGTCTGACGTATGTAGCCCATTTTTCATCTTATTATTTTGGTCACATGGGTAGTGTTATGTATGTTCTGCCACGTCTGGTTTAGAGCTGTAGTGATGGTGAAATCAGAGGGTCTAAAAACTGAGGATTTTATCTCCACTGTGTCAATTAGAGATCAGGCAAAAGATGCCATGGACATCTGATTAGCCTGGACTAACTGATTATTGTATTTCAAAGGCAACGAGCAATAAATGAAATATGGAAGCTGCTAGTGCTGTATAATGCCTGGCTATATCTGCATCAATATAACTGATTTAGAAGAAGAGTGAAGTCAAAATCAAACACAATCTAAATTATTGTTCTGGGTTAGCAACTTGTAAAGTACTAATTAAGATGAAGATTTGGCTTAGTATACACTTTACCATGCACGGGTGTCCCCACACCGCGTGCAGATATCTAAACAAGAGAACCAATTACGTGACCACACAAAAACAATGCTTATGAGCTATAATGTATTAGCTGCACCAAAACACCACAACCATAAACACCACCACCCGCAAGTCACATAAAAATACAAGTAACAATTACACCCGGAGACAAAAGGGCAAACCCTAGGGAGCAGAAACAACAAGAGGGGAGCCACTGATCAGGAGACCTCAGGGGTAAGGGTCAGGTCCAAGTCAGGGTTCAAGGCAAGAATAGGATACAGGCCACGAAAACAGGATATGCCAACAATACTAAGGCACAGGACTCATTGCAGGGAGAAGTTAAATACCCTCCCTGATCAACACCAGGTAGTGACTAATTGCTGGGAGACACCTGCAGGTGAGCACTGGAACTCCAGGATCAGGTTCCAGCTCCACAGTGCCACCTGGAGGTGCTCTAGTCCCTGACAGCTTGCCTTTACTTAAAGTGTATACTAAGCCAAATCTTCATCTTAATTAGTACTTTACAAGTTGCTAACCCAGAACAATAATTTAGATTGTGTTTGATTTTGACTTCACTCTTCTTCTAAATCAGTTATATTGATGCAGATATAGCCAGGCATTATACAGCACTAGCAGCTTCCATATTTCACTTATTGCTCATTGCCTTTGAAATTCAATAATCAGTTAGTCCAGGATTGGACCTTTAAAGGAAAACTCCAAATTTTCACCTGGTGTCCATGGCATCTTTTGCCTGATCTCTAATGGACACAGTGGAGCTCGGAGCAGTACTTTATATTATTGTCAAGAAAGAGGTATTTTGTAAATGGTTATTAAGGAGACTATAAAATCTCTTCATTTTTTACAGGTGAGAAAAACTGGTTGAATAGCTGTAACAGTACTTATAATTATGTACAGAAGGTACCTCTTTGGCTGACAGAAATTCAGGTACAAAACAAGCTAGAGAAGCTTAATGTGAACAAATAGCTGGGCCCAGGTGGTTTGCACCCATGAGTTCTCAGGGAGCTTAGTTTGGTTATATACAAGACACTTTTTCTATTTTTCAGACACATTACTGAGTGGAATGGTACAAACTGTTTGGCATTGGGCAAATGCAGTACCAATATTCAAAAAGGATTGAGATGTGTGTCAGAAAACTACAGACCAGTCAGCCTAACACTTATAGTATGTAAACCTGTCACAGACCATGAGGGGGGCCTCTCTTGCTGCTCTAGTACAAGCACCCCTGAATGGTGGAACAGGAGATAGCAGACAGGAAATAGTCAGTGACAGGCTGGATCAATATATTGCAGGCAGCATGGTACAAGGCAGCAGACACAAGAGTGGTCCAAGAACAAACTATGGTCGAGGGATACGGAACAGCAATCAGAAGTTCAAGGCAAGCTGGGTCAGTAATAAGAGATCAGATCAGGAATATAGCATTAAGAAACGCAGAAGCAGAACAACTGAAGATCAATCAGCATGGAGGCTAGGTTGTCTGAGCCATAAATAGCCCATTTTGCGCTACAGCTCGAAATGAGCTTACATAGTTACATAGTTGCATAGTATTTGGGGTTGAATAAAGACACACGTCCATCATGTCCAAGCTTGTGCACCCGTCCGCGCTCACTCGGCTGTAGATCCTCAAATCATCTCTGAATTGGTGCTGACACTGTGCTTCCTTCTGGAGGGGGGCTACTTTATTCCCCATGGTTCCTGTGTGTGTTGTAAGGTAGTCATCACTCCAAACTTGCTCCTGTGATGGACTACAATCTCACGTTTAGTTTACTGGAAACCAAAGAACCCAGGACTTGTGCTAAGAAACGTTATTCTTGTTTACTGTTGTATTCTTTGTCTTTTTTTCTGAGGTAAAATCTTTTATGTTTTCCTTTAATAAATAATGTTTTAAAATTGTTAAGATTTATCTCTACACTCTAAATAAGAATTTAAAGAATCCCTGTCTCTGTGAAGAGAGCTACCATATTGTAAAACCTGTTATATTTGTCTGGAGGGGCAGCGAGCATCACAGGCATTGCATAAGGCTTGAATTGTCACATTGATGATCATCCTCAGTCTTCTTGATAGCGCCTGTTCTACTTTTCTTGCCCTGTGGAGGTAGTGAGGAAGATTCACCTCAATGAGGTTCTAACACTTCTCCACTCTATTTAAAACTATCAAAAAGTTTTGACTGGAGTTGGCCATAATGTTCTTTTTTTCAATACATAATGTCCTTTTCTGTAAAGAATGTCAGGCACATTGTTCAGTCTGCTAATTACTTGATCAGTGTATTGCCCTTGTACAGCTCAAGGTGACCAAGTGCTAGTTTTATAGTCATCTGCATCAAATCCTGGCTTTAGAAATGGTTCGTTCTACTTTTCTACAGCTTTTTATTACAATGTATTCTTGAGCGCTATAGACATTGTTTGATGATGTTGTTACAGAACAAAAGATCATAAACAGCACAAAGCATTAATGGCTTTCTGCTTCAGCTGCACAATTTGTTATTGTCTGTACACCCACTTAATTGTCAAAGAACATCCTCAAAAACCTTCTTGTTCTTCATTGTATGTCGGCTCTCCATCCATACATGGAGGTTTACATTACGGCTCTGTTCATTTTATTATGCTAGGTTATTCAGGTTTGCAAAAGTTCTGCTGTGAGATTTTGACTTCTTGCAACTTTCTTTGCGCTGTCTTAGTGTTGGTGGTCAGTGGGAGTAAAAAATGGCCTGGTGGTCAGTGTAGAAATAGTGCCCCATCATAGGTGTCAGTGGGAAGAATAGTGCCCCATTGCTTGTGTTATTGGGACGATTGGTGCCCCATCGTAGGTGTCAGTGGGAGGAATAGTGCACCATCATAGGTGTCAGTGGGAGGAATAGTGCCCCATCATAGGTGTCAGTGGGAGGAATAGTGTCCCATCGTAGGTGTCATTGGGAAGATTGGTGTCCCATTGCTGGTGTCATTGGGAAGATTGATGTCCCATCATTGGTATACGTGGGAGGAATAGTGCCCCATTGCTGGATTCAGTGGGAAGAATGGTGGCCCACTGTTGGGTTCAATGGGAGGAATGTTGCCCCATTGCTGGTGTCAGTGAGAAGAATGTTGCCCCATTGTTGGTTTCAGTTCCAAGAATAGTACCCCATCTTTGCTGACAGTGAGAGAAATAATGCCCCATCTCTGGTGACAGTGGGTGGAATAGTGCCCTGTCTTTGGTGACATTGGAGCGGTGACTACTTTACAACACCCACAGGGACCATGGGGAACACAAGTAGCCACCCTGCAGAAGGAAGGACAGTGTCCCCACCAATTCAGAGATGATTTGAGGACCTACATCCGATTTATACACAAATAAGATACATTTTTGTTATTAGTTAAGGTACATGGATGCATTTTTAAGGTTTAAAGTAGTATTAAAGTCACTTTTGTTTTTACATATATCTACTGCTAGCAAGTTACCAAATAGGTCATTACTTACCTGTGTCTCCGCCGCTCGCTCCGCCTGCGGAAGATCTGAAGATTCTCGAGCGGTCGAGCAGAATGATGGGGCTGGCGCATGCGCAGTAGAGGAGAGGAGAGACACAGGGTAAGTCAAAGCACGCAGCCATGAGCATGCACTTCACGCAGACTCCGTGGGACACAGAAGACACAGCAGTCCGCGCCGGATCAGGGACCGGCACCAGCACTGGATGGATTGCTGAATACAAGTGGAAGAAAGAAGATGATTGGATCAAGAGGCATCATTTAAGGTAAGTTCTTAACCCCCTGCCGCCCTGCCTTCTCTAAAGGCGGAAGCGATGGCTATTGCATCAATTCCACGTTTTAGCTGTCATTTCTCTGGCTGAGAGCCAGAGAAGAAGCTGCTGAAGCAGATCCCTGCTTCATCAGCTTCTTTTGGAGGTCCCTAGGTGACATTAGGGGTCTTAGAGACCTCTGATGTCTCCATAAAGAGGGCCTGTCATTGTTTTTTGGCTCTCACATAGGGGGATTTTTACCCCCCCTGTGATAGCAATCAAGTTAAGCATAAAAAAAAAAAAATGAAAGTCTCATATTAAAAAAAAGAAAAACTACCACAAAAAGTTTTACGTCCCCCGCCCCTCCGTGCACGCACTTATAAACGTAAATTCGCATCGGGTGCGCCTACGTGCAAAAACAACAAATACGCCGCACATGTTACATATCGCTGCGAACGTCTTTTAGGCCCATCAATCACTGATAACACTAAACTGATGAGCAGTAAAAGCTTTTAAAGCGTCGCCTAAGTCCAATTGTAGGTATGGTAGTGTTTTGCGATTTCGCGGCCGCACGCAATTTTAAAGCTGGACATGTTTGGTGTCTATTTACCCAACGTGACCCCATCTTTTATGTTTTACCAAAAAATTGGGTGCTGATAAATGTTTTATAACATAACGTAGGGAAAACAGGTTTATTTTGGATACTTTTTTTATTATATAGTAAAAAATATAAACCCCAGTGATGATTAAATTCCACCAAAAGAAAGCTCTGTGTGTTCCTAAAAAATGATACAGTATTAATTTCAGTACAGTGTTACATGACTGAAAAAAAGCCAAAGTACTGCAGCGCTGAATACTGAAAAATGGCCTGGACAGGAAGGGGGCTTACCACCCCGGTCAGCAAGTGGTTAAAGCAGCATGGGGGGGGGGGATTGTGACTTTAATGTCACTTTAATTCCAGAGTTTGGTGTCACTTTAGGGTTGATTTCCATGTTGACTCCAGTACTTTCCACCAGAATCTCCTGATTTTCTCCAAAATGTCATAGATGAAAGCTCTTAATTGAACTCATCCCTATGTGTGACATATTGAAAATATCTTTGCTGTCTTCATATACATTCTTAGGCAGGATTTGCCCTCTTTGGTTTGCTGAGTATGACTGATGACCTAATTATCTATATATTTCATTTAAAAACTTCTCTTATAAATGACAACAGTGTCACTTGTATGTCACTCAGAGGACAAGCCGTAAATTTTGCTGCGGATTATAAGGGCACCATGCTTCGGCTGAGATTAATGTACACACCATTCACAGCTTCACCATTACTCAATTATTTCTGCAAAGTATCGCTTGGCATTTTAAGCATACCGTACCATGTTTTACAGGGGGAATTAATGGGAAAGCAGTTTCATAACCAGATAATCTATTATTTTAGTGTAAATGAGGATCATTTTTCTGTACGGGGTTTTTCCTTGGTATGTTTGTCCTTGGATAGTCATTTAATCGGAAGTGCAAGTGTCAGAAATGTGACTGGAATGTGGAGAAAATGTGGACTAGTAGTGGGAAGCCTAGAAAAGCACTAGGATAGCATCCTACACAGGCTACACAGAGGTTCTTTAGGGTGTGAGATTTTGGAGTGACAGGTGGTAGTTTCTTTCATTAAAGGATAAGTGCACCTTAAAATAAAGTGCGCATATCCTTTTGGCCCCCTTAAGCTGACCTAAGCAATGCCACCCTCCACATGCACAGATGGAAACATAAAGAAAAACTCCAGTGTTTAAAAGAGAACTATGGGGTCAGGGCTTGTCCCGATAGTTCTCCTTAGGGTAATGGGAGGACACAAACTAGCGTCCTCCCGTTACCCTAAGCTCAGCTGCAGTGTCCCATGTCGACTCTAACTATAGGGATGAGTGCATTTCATTCATCCCCTTTAACACCAGGAATGGAGTGTGTGCATGTAGACAGGAAGTGGCTGAAAAACCCTGGAGGAGAACCCTGGAGGAGAACAGCTGCACTGAGATGCAAAAAAGGGTTAAAGCAAGTGTTTTCTAAAAGAACAAACTCGTGGCACTTGTTTGGTATGCAATGCTATAGAAAACAAAATGTCACCCAGTTAGGGTTTTTATCTACCTTAAACTATAGCCAATGCCACTGACCGTGCTTGTATTTCTTACACCACCTTCTGTCTAGGTGACTTGACTCCAATCTCTTAGATACACAGCTTTAGCCAAGCAGCCCATTGAGCTGATGTTTTGATTAATAGCCATGTCTTTGTGTCTCCAGGTTCGTACAGACATTGATTCATGTTTTGAAGGGTAACATAGGCACGGGACTCCTTGGCCTTCCTCTGGCCATAAAGAATGCTGGTATTCTGGTAAGTGCTATCAGGCTGAAGAGTGATGAATGAGAAGGCTCTGTGAGTGGAATCCCATTAGTCAGTAGCAGACCTGTCCATTACAGCCCGTACATGTGTGTCATCCGGTATATCACTCATCCTTCTCTCATAGTGTTGAGCTAGGTCCTCATAAATGTCCCCATAATTTCTTTCTGCTTAGCACAAGACACACTTTCAGTTCAGTTGATACCACCTATGTTGTTATGTTTTTTTCCTGACCTGCTGCCATTACTTATTAAAAAGACCCCGTCACCAGACTCTTCATTTTTCCAAAAAGCCCCCCATAAAATTATATCTGCATTTAAAATATTTTCTGCAGGTTGTTTACCTGTAAAAGCCTCCATTGCGTAGACCAACCTTTTTAACCAGGGTGCCATGGCGCCCTGGGGCGTCTTATGTCTTCCTCATGGGTGCCTTGAAATTTTCACACAGCGTCATGATTCCAATTTGAAAGGGGCTCCTGATGTGAAAGAGGGAAAGTGAAGGGGAACTTCTGATGTGAAGGGGGGCTCCTAGTGTGAGAGGGGGTGACTCTGATGTGAAAGGGGCTCCTTTTGTCAAGGGGAAACTCTGATGTAAAGGGGGACCCCTTTTTTTGTTTCTTTGCATGGGGTCCCCACCTAAAATCTATACCAGACCCCTATCTCGCCTAATGGTCATATGGATTTTGAAGGGACCACACATTGTTTTTTACACTTGTTACATTTTAGACTGAGGTGCCTTGAGACATCCAATAGCTCAGAGACTTCTGGTGGGTGCCTCTATCTTAGATGCAATGTCAGCATCCCCAGACTGTCAATCAAATGACACTCTATAGCAGCACTTCTCAACCTTTTTTCAGTCACAGCACTCTTTAAAAGTATGCAAAATCTTGGGGCACCCCAGTCAAAAATATAAAAACCGTAAATATAAAACAAATGACGCGTGGTCCCTCCAAAATCCATGTCAAGCACTTATCCAAGGTAAGGGGCCAGGTATGTTTTTTTAAGGGGGAACCCCAAGCAAAAATGCAACAAAAGAAAATATGTGGAGTTGACTTTCTGCTTCAGATTAAAGTCCCCACTTCCACAGCAGATTTCCCCTTTACTTTAAGAGCACACCTTCTTAGCAGCTCCTCTTCACATTAGAGTCCCCCATTTTCACATCAAGGCCCCCCCCCCCCTTTTCCCATTACAACCCCCTTTATGGGAGGCCTTTTCCCAGTACAAGCACTCTTATCGGAGGCATGACAATGTGACAAGCCCCACTGCAAGAGTTAATTAGCCTGGAGTTCTTCTTTAAATGCATATATGTGAGCTTTTTTACCTATTCCCTGATGGCAGTGGTCTCTTTCAGCAGGATAATGCGCCCTGCCACACTGCAAAAATGGTTCCAGAATGGTTTGGGGGACACAACAACGAGTTTGAGGTGTTGACTTGGCCTCCAAATTCTCCAGATCTCATTCCAATCGAGCATCTGTGGGATGAGCTGGAAAAACAAGTCCGATCCATGGAGGCTTCACCTCACAAATTACAGGACTTAAAGGATCTGTCACTGACATCTTGGTGCCAGATACCACAGCAAACCTTCAGAGGTCTAGTGGAGTCCATGCCTCCACGGGTCAGGGCTGTTTTGGCGGCAAAAGGGGGAACCTACTGAATATTAGGCAGGAGGCCATAATGTTATGAATCGGTTTAAATGGCGGTGATAATGCTCATAGCACAGGCATGTTCTACTGTTGTCACTATCCAAATCTTTGTGCATATCTGGCCAGTACAAAGCAATGATGTGAGAGGGAGTGGCTGTAGAGGCTTATGGAGATTAGCAACACTAAGATTCGATGCAGAAAAAAAAGAACCACATCCACTTTAAAACTAAATTCTGAGATAACCAAATATTCTCTAAATACAAGACCCATGTGTATTCTTAGTTCAATCTTGGTGAGCTTTGTGTGAAACTTGGAGCTTTCTGCGGTAAAAGACCAGCCACGGCTGCTCTCTCTCCTTATGCAGGGTGACAAGTCTTGTCTCCGCCCCCTCTTGTAGTTTTCTACAGGCAGCCTTAGTGGGTGGAGCTGCTGGGCCCCTCCCACAGCTCTGCTTTCTGTGCAAACTATGTACAGCATAGTGATGATGTCACTTCTACTTTTACAATAAGTACATTTCCAATGGCATTTGGTGATTTATATTCTTTGCAGGTATTGAGGAATATATTCCAATGAGGGTTTTTATGGTCGGAGTTCTGCTGTAAATTTCAGGATTCCATCCATTGTGAAAGTTGAGCTTTATCCTTGCTGACTTCAGAAAGTTTCAACGTTCTCTGGCATGTTTTTTTTAAAGACCAGGCAGCTGAGGACACTCCGAGCTGTATATCTGACCTCTTTGTACTATTGCTATCCCTATAGATAGATTCCGAGTTTTTGTATGCTATGGCTTTACATCAGCAGAATCATGTTCCTGAAAGGTAAAGACCCTTTCATTTCTTTCCTCTCCGCTCCTTTACATTCCTCTCTAAGTGATTGGGGTTGTGACCCCGATAATATTTCCCTGCTTTCTCTCTGCCTACACATTGATAATAAATGTAGATTTTCTTGTCCATTCGATCTACAATATATTCAAAGGAGTTGCAGCGTGTTGTTACCTTACTTCGGTGCAATACACTGTTCTTTATATACACGGATCTGGATGTATTGTAATATTTTCTTTCTTTTTTTTTATTGTGAGAGTCTAAATATACTGGAGAACCTTGAAGGGTTAGTTCACACCATAAGCAGTGCGTTCTGGTCCGATTCTGGCCGGAACGCACCTCCTCGCATTGCGGCCGGCTGACTTTTTTGCCGGGCTGGAGGGGCCGTGGCGGGCCATTGAAGTGAATGGCACCGTAGCCACTCCCTGCGGCCGCAATGCGATCGCCCGCACGGGATCGCAAGGCACATTGTGCCTGCAGTGCGGTCCCCTCTACATGCTGACGCCGGTGATGCCGGTCCCAGGCACGCAGGAGGGGCAATGGAGCCTGGGAAGCAAGGCGGAGTTGTCGGGCAAGGGGGGTGCAGTCTTTATTGGCCCCTGGAAGCGATCTGGCAGTGAAAGGGTTACATGTATTTCTTGCAAGCAGTGCAAGTACTTTAATTCTTTCAGTTCTTGTAGAGCAGGGCTGGAGTGTGTGAGAAGGGAGCAGCGAGCCAATCAGTTTATGTGTTGACAAGAAGCATGCTGATAGGAGGTGTGAGCAGAGTTACAAAGAGATGAGTTCATCGGTGTGCTGCTTCTCCTTTCACTGTAAAGTCACAGGTTAAGGGTGGATCCAGGAGGACCTGGGCTCAAAGGAGGCGAATTAGAGTGATGCTGGCCATGAGACTGAGGACATCTAGTGGCAAAAAAAAGTACTGCAGGAAAATTCACTGGATTTAATGTAAATATTTCAATAAAACGGGTTTTGTTATTTTATCCTTTAATAGGTTGTTCATTTATATTTTATTTCTGGCTGGAGTTTTGCTTTTAGGTGAATCTAGACCCAAACACTTAAACTGAATATATTGATGCTCATGTAATGTCAAAAAGTGTATTCCTTTCTGTCCTACATGTCCTGCTTTCAATTAAATCATAGCAGCAAGGTGTATGCTTAGACATTTCCCATTCTAGGGTGACAACGCCATTTCAGTTCACCTGCACCATTGTCACCCATTGGTGACAAAGGGGGAACTCCTGAGGAAGTTTAAAACATTTGAGATTGTGACCCAGCTCTATCTGATGAAGAATATAATGCTCGTTTGTGTAGGGGATGATCTAAAACCGAGGACTTAACTGATCCCATGGTCCTACAACAGCCAGCAGCCTTTTCCTCCGCTGGGTACTCCTATGTCATCACGTACAATGCAGGACCAGCAACACGGCCACTCAGACATCAAGAAGAGTGGCTTTGGGAGACTGGTCCTCACAACCAACTCCTCCACAAGGTAAATAATACTTGGTTTTGGACCATCCCCTACAAAAACAAGCCGTATATTCTTCATGAGCTGGAAGGGGGTTCCATTCTAATTGTTTTATCCTAACCTGGACTTAAAAGAGATCTATAGGGTCAGTGTTTTTTCCCATAGTTCTCTTTAGGGTCACGGGAGGACATATACTAGTGTCCTCCTGTGACCCAAAATTTAGTATATCGCGGGCTGCCGGGAGCCGGGACGGTTTCTGACATCACTGTCGAGATCCACCCAGCTGCGTGAGTGACAGCGGGCTCTGCCCATCTAGAGGCAGAGCCAGCTGTGCCCGCCCCCTCCCCGTCTGTTCGTCCACTCAGCGCTGGAGGATCAGAGGAATGGGGGAATCTCTGCGGGGAGCCGTGACTGACAGTCACTGCTGTCTCCAGGGAGACGATCGAGAAGTGAGCAGATCGTGCATGTTTCTGCTCAGTTCCCGATCTATAGAGCCGACGTGTGACAAGTTTCATTGTCACAGGTCGGCTCTAACTATGAGGATGAGTGGAAATCACTCACCTCATAGATCTCCTTTAAAGTAAGGGGAAACCTGTATTTTTTTTTTTTTAAATCAGATAGTTTTTATTGGTTTTTCCATTGTACATGACCAGCATAAATGTACTCAATCATGGCAATACAAAATCATATACAGAGAATCCAGTAGCAAGTATCCAAGATATATAGAACGGCGTTTAGCAGCATCGCCTAGGCCGCGTATATTCCAGGAGGCTAACTTAAATACCCGCTGTGACATGCATACGACAACATATATATACTTAGCAGCAACACTTGAATGTCCATCGAGCAGGTCCCCTTGATATGGATCCGTGCAGAAACACGTAGGTAGAACGACTGGAAGTCCTGTGGTAGAAGAAGGTGAAGAACAAACAAAAATAAAAAGGGGGAAGAACGGAAACCTGTATTTTTAACAATAAAGTAATTTATTCTATTTTGCTTATAATGCTCTACAATACTGAATATTCTTTTGCGTGAGTTTAGCTCTACTTTATATATT